TATTTACCGGCCAAAGAATACACACAGTACCCAGGTGGGATGGGCATGAATGCTCTTAAAACACACACACACACACACACACACACACACACACACACACACACACACACACACACACACACACACACACACACACACACACACAATCATAATTATCATTCTCCGTCTTTTGTTGCATGGATGAGCATTATCTGGGGTTGCTCTTGCACATTTTCTTTAAGGTGTAAACATTTGTTTGTATTTGAAAATGGACAAACTGCTGGTAGATTAGGAATCTTCTGAAGCAAACTTCGAAAGAAAGTATTTTTGTATCTTTTGAAATATTCCTTGTCTAAAATATGAATAAAAAAAAAATCCACAACAATATTGACGAAATAAAGACCCTGATTCTTGGGCTGCATTTTGTTGCATTTGAGGCGTTTTTTATTCTAATTTATTGTGAGGATGTGGACTGATGTTGGTCCTTTCTGCCCCAGCGAAGGTACAGAGCATTAAATGCAGGGGGGAAACGATAAAACATTTATTACTGGAGAGAGAGGAGGTAATATGCATAATTTATGCTGTTTTTAGCACAATCATTAGTGATATTCCTGATAGATTTCTTTCCTTTTATTCCTTTCTATTTTATATCTCTTATTCAGGAGTTTTCCATATCTAATAGATGCGGAATTCAAAACCCTATATGTCTTGTTGTCTTGCATTACAGATCACAAAGTTTGATTGCAGCTTGGTTTAATTGTTGAGAGATTTTATTAATAAAAATACACGCATACATATCTTTTTATGAAAGAATAAAAAGGACTGACATATGGGGCATTGTGTCTCTATGGAAGCCTGTGTGGCAGATTTTTATTTAGCACACATGACATACCCATTATAGTGTTCATCAGCAGCCCTGCACCATGTGATTTGGTGCCTCCTCCTCCTCCTCCACCTCCCCTCCACCAAATTTTAATTTTGCATGATTAGCTCTGCGTCATTAGGCAACTCCATTCAGACGCGACAAACCAAAAAAAAAACTGACAGCCTCAAGACGTCAAATATTTTAGGATTGCCCGTGTGTTGAGGACTAAGCATATGTTCATATTTTATCTTAATTTCCTACAAATATAGTTTTATTATAAATAAAATGACAACACACTTCTTCCTTGTAGCTTACATGTATGCCCAATTTTTACGGATAAATCACATTTAGCTACCCCACCCATTTTAAACAGCACCAGGACGTGCATCTCTTTGTATCGCTTCATTTACACAATGAATGCATAATTGCTCCTCCTGCATCCCCCCCCCCTTTTCTCCTTCCCCCCTCCTCCCTCTTCTTTAAATGCTTTAATTTGCAGAGGGGGATTGAGGGGCTTGATAATGGAAGCGTAAAGAAGGAAAAAAAGAAAGGAGGGAAAAAGGGGGGAATTGTAAGAAGAAGAGCCCTAACCGGTGCCTCTTAATCACTTCTAGGTTTTAAATCATGATGATGCAGGAGTCGGCCACAGAGACAATAAGCAACAGTTCAATGAGTCAAAATGGAATGAGCACCCTAAGCAGCAGCCAATTAGAGGCTGGCAGTAGAGATGGGAGATCAAGCGCTGGTGACACGAGCAGCGAAGTAAGCACAGTCGAGCTGCTGCATCTGCAACAACAGCAGGTAAGTTGTGTTTCTCCCCCGTCTCGTCTCTCTCCCTCACTCTCACTCTGTATCCCCCCCCCGCTCTCCCACTCTGCTCTCTGCTGAGGGCTTCTCTTCATAGACAGGCGGCACAATGAAATCTCTTTTTATTGTGTATTGTTTGTGTTTTTCAGTACACGGGGAAGACAAAAAAACATGTATTTAATCGGCTGTTTGTGTTGTTTAGTTGCTTGTCAGCCTGAAGCTGTTTGATGGAAATGTTTTTGCACATTCTGTTTTAGTTGTTTATACATATTTGTGTATTTGTACTTTATATTTTTTAGAGTTGTAGCAATGTGAGGTGTGTGTGAAAGCATGTCAAAGTGTGTGTGTCAGTGAGAAAGAGAGGCATAGCCGGAGAAAGGGGAAGAATGTGTGCGTTGGAGCATCGTACGGAGCAGTTTGGGAAGTGTGTGTGTGTGTGTGTGTGTGTGTGTGTGTGTGTGTGTGTGTGTGTGTGTGTGTGTGTGTGTGTGTGTGTGTGTGATGTGTGTGTGTGTGT